CCACGCGGAAGCCGCGCAGGGCGGAGGACGTGGCGGCTCGCGGGGCGGGATGCGCGGGGCGACGCGGCGGCGGCGGGCCCGCTCCCTCCGGCGCCGCATGAGGCCGGGCGAGGCGAGGCCTGGCGTCGCCTCAGCCGCGTCCGCGCCCCCGGCCGGCACTCACTCGGCTCCCGAGGCCATGGCGGCAGGGCTCGGCTGCAGCGGTGCTCGTGGGCTCGGCCTGGCGCCGCTCGCTCGTCTGTCCGTCCGTCCGTCCGTCCGCCGCTCGCTCGCTCGCTCGCTCGCCGCCGCCGCCGCTCCGTCCTCCGCGGAGCCTCTCGCTGGAATTCCCCTCACAGGTCAGACCAACGCCGACTCATCGGGAGTGACGCTCCGCCCGGCAAGCTAGGCCGCACTCTGCCTAGCAACAGGTGCCGCCTCAGCCAATCGGAAAAACGGAGTCAGCCGCGCTCGCCCAATCGGAAGCCCAAGCCGCTCTGCCGGCTTCAACGAATGGAGAAGCAGGTTCATCGGGAAGCAGGGCCTCCCGGCAACAGATCACCCAATCAGAAAAATCCTCCAAATGTAAAGAGGAGAAATTAGTTTCAAGAGAAAGCCCCGCCCTCATTCCATTTCTGCCTAGCAACTCATATCGATTGGGACACGTCACAAACGCTGGGGGATTTTGAGGCCAATCAATGATTGACAAGTACATGATTGACACGGCACGGCGGCCATTGAAGACGAGCTCTCCGGGCTCTTACTGCGGCGATCGAGCGGTGTCACGTGAGGGCAGCGCTGCGTCAGTCGGGGCGGGGCACGCGACCCCGGAAGTAGCTCGAGCCTGGGCGCGCCAGTGCTTCTGAGCACGGGCAGAGTGCTCTGCCGCCCAATTCCCCCCGACGTCCCGTAGCAGCCGGGCTCCAGCCCGGCTCCCGCCGCTCGTTTGACAAGGCAGGCCGAGCAAGCAGCACCGGGGCGCGACCGTGACGCCGCAGGGCCGGCTCGGCGGCGGGCGCCGCTCCGATGGCGCCGCAGCTGTTGCGGAGCCGGTGTGGCCGCCCTCCCTGCGCCGGAGAGCTGCCGCCGGCCTCGCAGCTGCTCTAGCAGCACCCCTGGGCTTCTGCTTCCCTTTCTGCCACTGTTGGAGTCGCCCTCAGAAAAGGCATCCGGTTTTATGTGACGTTAGTCGTGAAGTCGCGTCCGACCCATCGCGACCCCCTGGACAACACTCCTCCAGGCCCCCCTGTCCTCCACCGTCCCTGGAGTCCACCCAAGCCCACACCCACTGGCCCAGTGACCCCCTCCAGCCACCTCATGCTCTGCCCTCCCCTCTATCTGCCATCTATTGTGCCCAGCATTAGGCTCTTCTCCAGGGAGTCCTTCCTTCTCATCAGGTGGCCAAAGTATTTGAGTTTCATCTCCAGTGTATGGCCTTCTGAAGAGCAGCCAGGGTTGATCTCCTCTAGGACTGACCGGTTTGATTGCCTTGCGGTCCAAGGGACTCTCAGGAGTCTCCTCCAGCACCACACTTCAAAGGCCTCAATCCTTCGGCGCTCAGCCTTCCTTATGGTCCAACTTTCACAGCCATACATTGCACCTGGGAAAACCATGGTCTTGACTATACGCACTTTTGTCCACAGGGTGATGTCTCTGCTTTTCAGTATGCTGTCTAGATTTGCCATAGCTTTCCTCCCCAGGAGCAAGCGTCTTTTAATTTCTTGGCTGCAGTCACCATCTGTGATGATCCTGGAGCCCAGGAAAATAAAATCTTGAAAATATTGAAAGAGTGCCCATTCAAAGTCTCCTTCCCCGTCCCTGCAAAAATACACGTGACACTAACTCCACAAAGCACTCTGTTCATGCCCCATTTCCTCACAGCCAGTCTTAAACTGCTGTTCCTCAGCACTGTTGTAATTTAAGGATCCCTGTTGCTGTAAATAAGCCGTTGAGTGTTTGATTGTACGCTTCCACCGAATGCATTCTTTCCAAGCAGGTCTGAAAGCCTGGCACCACTGAGTACTCTTGGCTTGCCCCACACCTCTGGGACTGGGGAGGCTTGTCTTCCAAGAAGACTTGAACCCTTCCTTGCATCTCCCTCTTCAAGCAATTCAGAATATTGCAGAAAGCAAACTTTGACCATTAAGAGATGAGTAAAAAAAATCCAAGCACAGCCTAAGCACTTTCAACAACGATCAGAAGGAAATCTTTCAAAGGGCAGCTGAAGCAACATCTCTGTACAACCCACTCTTTCATGCCCCGGGGAGCCAGCTAGCCAGAATCCGGTGGGTAGAAAGACCCGCTCATGCTGCAGCTGGCCAGCTGGAGCCCCTGCAACTTCCTGCTCTGGGCACGCACCTCTCCTCCCTGGCCTTCCTGCAGTGATTTCTCTCCTAGGCACCAGGGAACAAGGGTGGTGGAGCCAGCTGGGGATGAGCAACTTGCCTTCTAGAGGCAGACTGAGGCTGTGAGGACAGAAGGCGTCTGGAGCAGAAGCAGCCAGGCCTACCCTTGTGCTTGGGATGGCTTGGTTCACTGCTCAATATAATTTCTCCACAAATCCTTTCCCAGAAGAACAAAGGACAAGGGGGTGCTTTTATTTTCTGTAAGGTTTTGTTTTGCAACTGCACCTCAGTCATTTCCATGTCACATCATTCCATAAACCATTAGATTGAGAAAATTTTGTGAAAATATTTTTATGAAATGGAAAAAATAGGCTTCTACATCATACATCCTTTTTGCTAGGAACACTTTTTATGATTAACCCACCCGTTAATCCAAGAGCAACGTTCTGCTTTACGCAGGCAAGGAGGGTTCCGGAAGAACCACCCAGAAGGACATCTAAGCGGAAAGGAAGAGCAGCGGAGGAGCGGCAGGGCTAGGTGCCCTCGCCGCTCCCTCTCAGGCAGCTTTCCATGGTCCTGGTGAGGGATTCCGCGTGAGGGAATGTCATCTGTTTCACATACGTAAGCAGGTACAGCGGGAAGCTTCTGGAACAAAAAAGAAGACGGATCAGGGCTGCTGTGGTGGTCCTCTGAAGGAGACCGGCAGGTTAGGCTAGTAGGGCTACAGGCTGGGAAAGAGTCGTTGGGAGTCAAGACCGTCCGTGGTGACCTGTGCCAAGTGAAAGAGCAGTCCTCGGGTTACGAATGAGCTCCCTTCCTGAGGAAACAGAAATCTGTCCTTAAATCAAATCAGGTTGGAGTCAGTGCAGCGCAGGGCCACAAGGTTGGGGGCCGGTTTGCAGGGGATGCCGTATGAGGCGAGACTGAGGGAACCGGGTCTCTTCAGCCTGGAGGAGAGGAGACTCAGAGGGGGTCTGTTGGCGACATACAGGTATGTGAGGGGGTGTCACACGGAGGTGGGCAGAGACCTGTTCTCCCCTGCAGAGGAAGGCAGGACGTGCCCCAGCGGAGTAAAGCTCAGGGAACCCAGGTTCCATTTGGATGCCAGGAAGCACTTCCTGACAGTCGGGACCCCGAGGGTGTGGAATGGGCTTCCACAGGATGCGGTTGAGGCCCCATCGGTGCGGGTGTTCAAGGACAGGCTGGACGTCCACATGGTGGGCATGTTGTGAGCAGAGCCAGCTAGAGCTGAGGGTCAGACTAGATGGCCCGGGAGGCCCCTTCTGACTCGCTCTGTTTTCTATGTTTCTAAGTCAAATGTGTGTGTAAATTGGATTACATATAGTCAGCCCTCCACATTTGCAGGGATTAAAAGTGATAGCTATGATAGAAGGCTAAGGTTTTTCCAGACTACAACAGTTCAGCAGGTTAGATTTTTGACAGCTATTTTCCTTCCACTAGTACAGCCAACTGTTCCTTACACAACTCCCCTCTGGTTCTTTCAAGGAAAGCAAAGCTTTTCAGCAGTTCGATACACAAACACGTGCACAAGGGGTGTGCCTGTGGGTGGGAAGGTGGGCCAGTAGCTCTCACTGGGTCAGAGTTCCAGCTCCTAAAAACAAGACTGTCAAACAAACAGTACAGAAAATGCGGTGGGACTGGCGACGGGTTCTGCGCAGCCTTATCCAGGGGCTCCTCTCGCCCTGGATCTGCGCCCTGCATCTGTCTGACGTTAAGGCACAGGTGAACTCCAAACGCCTGACTTTCCATGGCTGCAAGGAAAGGCAGACGCGCCAGGCAATTTCAAAAAGTCCTGGAAAAATGTTGCCCATGTCCAGCGAGGGACCGGAACAGCCTTCTGAAGAATCCTGCAAAACGGCTAAGGGCTACCAAAAGGTTGCTGCTCGCTTCGGAGCAGAACGAGAGCCTTGCTGAATCGGATCGAAGGTGCAGCTAGTCCAGCCTCATGTCCAAGCACTGGCTGCACAGCTGCCCACCAAACATGGGTGGAGCACAAGGCATGAGTGCAACACACCCTCCTACCCATGTTCCCCAGCAACTGCTGTATGAAGGCTCGCTGCCTCTGGTACTGGAGCCGCCATGCAGCCACCAGGACTGGGAGTTACTGGCAGTCCAGGGTTCTATCCGAGTTGCCTCTAAAACTATGCAAGGGGCTGAGCAGTATTACATCTTGGAGGTAACGTTCTTCCTTTTACCTGTCCTGAATCTTCCACCCTTCAGGTAACCCTTTGGGAGGGGCAGGGGGATGTCTCTCCACAGTCCCAGAAGCCACGCTTCCTTGTAGGGGAGCTGCTCCAGCTCTTAGATCTCGTGAGTTGCCCCTTTCTGCGTTTTTCCCAGCTCTACAATATCCTTTCTCAGGTGCGGCCCCCAAAGCTGTCTACGATGTTCTAAGTGCAGGCGAAGCATGGGGGGCTCTCGGAGTCCCGGAAGGGAGCGCCAGAGGGGGCCAATGAAGCCACCAGGCCCAGCTGCTGCTCAAGGAGGGACTCTGGGCGGAAGCCTCTGGAGTCGCGTCCGGGCTGCCTCCAGTGTAGAAGAGCTCATGGCCTTAACGGCTTGGGACCTGGATACCTAAAGGAACGCCTGCATCCATATTTGCCCTCCTACCCGCTGAGATCGGCAGCAGAGGCCCTCCTCTGGGAACCCTCCGTGAAAGACATTAGGAGGTTAAGTACCCGGAGGAGGGCCTTCTCTGCGGTGGCGCCTCACCTGTGGAATGCGCTCCCCAGAGAGGTCCGCCTGGCACTATCTTTGATTTTCGGTGCCAGGCTAAGACCTTTTTATTTAAACGATATTTTAACAATTTTTAATATCACCTATAGGTTTTTAATTTACACCCAGGGTGAATCTGGATTTTAATTTGCACTATTTGTATTTGTTTGTTTATTGTATGTAAGCCATCCCGAGGCTCTTGCGATGGGACAGAATACAAAAATTCTAAATGAATGAATGAATGGCCTCCCAAGGGAATTGGCTCCCTGGTCCTACAGGTTCTTCCCAACGTTCCACCAGGATCTGTCCTCCTGGAACCCGAGCCCATGAGTCTGCGCCCCCCACTCGGGGATGATCCAGGCAAGAACCCAGCCCTTCTCTGGGGGAGAACTTTTCAAATTCTTGAAGAGCGCTATCATGTCTCACTCCAGTCCTTTCTTCCCCAGGCTAAACATGCCCGGTTCTTTCAATCTCTCCCCGTGGGGCTTTATTTTTAGCACCTTGATCATCTTTGTTGTCCTTCTCTGAACCTTTTCTGTAACAGTTTGCTATTTAGCTGTCTTGAGACATTCAGTGAAAGACGGGCCAGAAATGTTTTATTAAATTACAATTAAAATGTCATTCTTTAACTGTGACACCCAGAACCAGACACAGCACTCAGGATGAGGGCTAACCATTGCTAAGTCAAGGGGAAGCTGTCCCTCGCTCGATTTGAAGTCACACTTCTATTAATGCCGCCCAAAGGAGCATTTCCCTTTTTCACATCCTATTGTTGACTCAGATGCAGCTTGTGATGTGCAACCGTGCCAAGATCCTCCTCGCTTGCAGCAGTGCGGAGCCAAGTGCATTTCACCGGATAACTATGCACTGAGGTGGATTTTCCCTTAAGTGTCAGAGCTTGGCAATTGTACTACTGAATTGCATTCTGCAGTTCTGAGGGAAAGCGGCCGTGCCATACCTGAATTCTTGGTTCTAAACGAATCAAAGCCAAAAGTAACCAAACATGTACCTTGTAATTCAAGAGAGCCAATGTTAATAAACGTAGAACAAAGGCCCATGGCAAGTGACTCTAATTAGAAAAGGAATCCAGGAAGGGTGGGAATTAAAAAAACACACTAAAGGCACAAGTACGAACAACTGCAGCTAGGAAAAAGGGTAGAAAGCAACAGGAAAAGCCCATGCGGCTTCACGCAACGCCCAGAGACGGTCTGAAAACAAAAAAGACATGCCCAGGAGGTGGGAGGCAGGCCAGGCTCCGAGGGAGGAATGCAAGCTGGCGGCGCAGAATCGCAGGGGAGGCGTCAGGAAGGCCAAGGCTGGGGATGAACCGAGGCTGGCGAGGGATGCGAAAAGGAACGAAAAAAGCCTTTTTCAGAAATGTCCAAAGAAAAAGAGAAAGGAAAGAAATGGGGGTTCAGCTGCTGAGTGTGGACGGCAAACGGTCCGGGATCGTCTAATCGGGCTGAACGACTTCTCATCTCCAGGGCTCGATAAACCCCCTCCCAGAGCCATAAAGGAGCTGGTGGAAGAACCCTCAGAACCACTGGCGACTGATTATCTGTGAGAAATCCTGGAGGCCAAAAGGAAGGGCCCGGGAACACAGACCAGTCAGTCTGGCACCAACCCCGGGAAAATGCTGCAGCAGATCGTGAAGCAGCCCGTCTGCAGGCACCTTGAAAGCAATGCGGTGAGTGCCGGGAGCCAGGATGGGTTCCTCAAGAACTGCTCCTGCTCGATGACGCCGATTCCATGTTTTGACTGGGCAACCTCCCCGGTGGACGGTGGGAGTGCTGTGGACATAATCTGGCTTGACTGCAGCAAAGCCGTTGACGGTGCGTCTCATGAATGACGTCCAGATTAGCAAACTAGCTAAAGGTGCGTTAGGTGGAACAACAATCAGGTGGATCTACAGTTGGCTGCAGAATCGGACTCAAAGCGGGCCCATCAACGGCACCTTCTCAAACTGGGAAGAGATAAGAAGTGGGGTACCACGAGGTTCAGTCCTAGAACAATTATGAAGTCTGCAGATGACATAAACCTGGGTGGGATAGCTAATGCCCTGGAAGAGGGAAAGAAGATTCAAGGTGCTCTTGAACTGAGAACAACAGAATGAAATTCAAGAGGGACAAATGACAAATTCTTCAACTAGGAAAAAGAATCTAGAGGCAACATTACAAGACGGGGAATAGTATTTGGCTCAACGATACTGCAAGTGGGACGGATCTTGGAATTGTTGTAGATCACAAGCTGAATAAGAGCCAAGAAGGTGATGTAGCTGCAAACAGGGCCAACGCAATTTGGGGCTGCATTAACAGAAGCATCACCTCCAGAACACACGCAGTGCTGGTCCCCCTTCACTCAGCTCTAGTCAGACTTCCCCTGGAGCGCTGTGTCCAGTTCTGGGCACCTAAGAAGCAGAAAAGCTAGAAAGGGCGCCTTCTGCTCGGGGTCTCCTCACCCCCTTGACAGTCTGTGAATGCAGCTGGAGAGGCCCAGGGTCTGGGCATCAAGGTGGCTTCACCCACATGGGCCACCACGCCCTTGGGCATGCTGGGGTCCCGGACCGGGCCCTGTCCAACTGGGACAGCCATGCGCAGGCAGCACACGGAACAGGCCTGGGCGAGCCTTCCGCTGTTTCGGCCCTGAGTTGTTCCCGAGGTTCTCTTTGATCCGCACATGCCTTTTATCCCTTCCTCTTATCCCTGTTTCGAGAGGCTGGCATGCACCTTCTTGCAGGGAAGCCACAGTTCCGACTTCGGAGCCTTCTGCCTGGTCTGGCTGCAGCCGTGTGGGGCCTCGGGTTTCGTGGGATCGCAGAACAGGAGCTGTGGCCCTCAGGTCCAAGCCCCGCTCACTGAACCAGCCCTCCCAGAAGGCTGCCCAGCTGCTTCTTGGGGAAGTGAGCTAAAGGGGGGTGGACTGCACCTTTCTTCTTGCACCCCTGAAAAGTCTGTGAGCCCCCGGCTCAGACTAATATGGATGTCGGGGGCCGTTCCTCCCGCTTTTGGAAAACCCTCCCTCCTCCTGGCTGGCGGCTGGCTGCCCAAGACAGAGCGGGCGCCGAGGGCTGAGAGCAGCTGCTGGGAGGGGCGGCTGCAGTGGGGACCAAAGCAGCTCTTCCCGCACGTGCCCCGCACTTCCCCTCCCTTGCCAATGGCGCTGGTGCTCAGGGGGCAAGAGCAGCGTTGGCAGGCGCCCGTACCTTTCTGCCTTTGGAACCTCTGGAGCAGAAGGGCTGGAGCAGAACCTCTGCCAGCGTGCCGCCGCCTCCTGCCGTCGGCCCAGCTTCCAGAGGGTGTGGATCAAGTACAGGTTAGCAGTGGGACCGTCTGAAAAGCACAAAGGAAGTCGTGGAGCCAGAAGGGGCCTCCGTGCGGCTTGGGGCGACAAGTGAAATCGCCAAAGGAGCCGCGTCTTCCCCCGGGGGGACCTTGTCTCAGCTGCCCACCCGCTGCGTCTTGTTCTCCGACCTCCTTCCTCTGAGGCATTCAGCTCACGTGAAGAGGCTCCAAATTCCCTATCGTGCACTAAAAAGCCACCTGGCACGCATATCGATGCCTCATCCACATGATTTATTCTATTTATTATCAGGCATCCACAGAAGCTGTCGCAAGCCAGACTTTCTCCCTGTTGCACAGTTAAAGGATTCCCGCCAATTTCCACACCTGGGCAGATGCACAAGCTGTGCTGGAAATCCATCAAGGCCTCTTTGTCGCGCTCCAGCTGCAGGAACTGAGCGCCCCGTCCAGTCAGGGCCAGCTGCCTGATTTGGGAAAGCACCTTTGCTTCCGGGATCGCCGTCCGCTCCATTTCCTCCTCGGGGCTGCTGCCTGACAGGGAAAGGACCGGCCGTCATCAAGGACCTGATCCGCTGGCTCCCCCACGCAGCAGCTGCCAGGTGCTGCAGAACGCCATCTTGCAGAACAAGCTGAGGAACAGCAGCGGGAGTGAGAGCAGAGGCAGGAGCCCCGGAGCAGAAAACTCCCAACGGTCAAGGCAGACGCAGACCGTTCCTCCGAGGCGGCCGGCTTTCCTCCCGGGTGCCACCAGAGAACCTCCCCGCACCCTCCTCTCGTGTGAGCAGCTCGCCCCATTTGGCCCGCTGGGCAACAGCGTGTCTGCAAAGCGTTCCTTCCGGCAAGCAGGAACAGCGAGGAGCAAGCAGGGGCACCTCGGTCCGTACCTGTACTCACGAAACAGATTCTTAGGAGATCGTTAAGGCACCTGTTACGGAAAAAGCAAAGCAGAGCCACTGCAGGGCTGCCGGGAGGGCTGGCGCCAAGCAGAACCGTGGGCCTTGTGGGGCCGGCTGTGCGCCTGGCGCTTGCCCACAGCCACAGGAACCAGCGGCATCCGTGACGCCATCCCACACGTCTCTCTCTTTCGAAAGCACAGGTGCCGCTCTGCCTGAGCTACGAGGGTCACGGAGAGGGAGGCGACAGCGGGAGCCCAGCACCCTGCACTGCTCCGCGTCAAACACGACGGCAAGCAGAAGCAAAGCGCAGTCATGCAGCGCTGCCGCGCAGCCCGGTTTCCAAACCTGGGTCAGCCGTAGCAGGATTCTGACATTCAAGGCGTAACACAAGGGAATCGTTCCTGGCCAGCGGGAACAAGGGCTGTGTCCCGGCACCAGTGTCTCCCGCACAACCTAGGCCGAGTGCAGAGAATCGAGCCACACCCAAATTACCTGCTCAGGAGGCCGACGGCTTCCTTGGGGTCTCCCAGCCCGGCCCAGGCCCAGCCCTGGGCCAGATAGGCTGCTGCCCGCCAAAGCACGCAGCACAGGCTCTCTCTCGTTTGCCTCGCGGGGACGCCAGCAGCCTGGGCCCTCAGGGATCCCGCCATCGCCCTGGCACTGCAGCCCAGCTCCACCTGCAGCCGCTCCGGGACCAGCTCGCTCGCTCGGGCGACCACCTCCTCGCACACTGCAATGGCATCTCGGTGCCTGGCCAGCTCCTGCAGGCCCGAGGCCGCTTCCAGGAAGACCTCGGGGACTCTGGGCAAGGCTGACTCTCTGCGGGGAGACACCTGGAGAAAGGGGGGAGCCCCTGAGCCCCCGCCCAGCATCAGCGCCCAGTGCGCCCTCAGGAAGCAGGCCACGTCGTCCTGGGAATGCGGGAGCACAGCGTTCCGAAGGACTTGCATGGCTTCTCCGTGGCGTCGGGCCAGCCACCCCCCTCCCTGCCTCCTGGCACCACTGGCCCAGTCCGGCCTCGCAAGATCCCGGCTCAGCCCTTCTAGCAGGCTCCACGATCGGACAGGAGCACTGCGTCTTCAAGGCAGCAGCTTTATAAGCCGCACCACAGCTCCGCCCCAGGAGAACGAAAGGGCTCGCCCCTCCCCAAAACCCGGCTGGGGCTGCTTCGATGGGAGACAGATCTCGGGATCTCTCAGATCAGTCAAGACTTTTTGGTTGACAAGGACACCAATACAGTATTTTCAGGGACCAAGGGAAAGCTTTTCCAAGTCCTTGTAAAGCAGAGAGGCCTTTAGGAACTCAGAAGGCAAATGTGAAATAGCTCATCAAAATCCAGTCAACCCGTTGCAAGGCCTTCAGATTTACGCTTGGGTTTCAGGGGCTAGTTGAGTACTCATTTTTTAAAAGTTTCATTAATATCTATTTCTAAGACAGCCCTTTCAACGGATTTTCGTGGGACTTGTTATATTTCTTTTTATCATTAACCCATTCAGCGCTGACCTGTATTTACAGGCCTCTGCATTTATAGGCCACCGGATGGCCCACGAAGGGCTCTCGAAGCGGCTGCCATTAAAAACAGGCCAGCAGTGCCGCTGCAAGTACGGGGGAAGGAGCGGGAACCTGCTGGCAGCCAGGCGAGCTTTTACCATCAGGCGTTAAAGTCAGGATTTGAAAAGCCTTTGAAAGAGGACAGTTTTCACCTGGCACCAAATGGAGGCAGTGGCAGCCCATTCGGGGACGAGGGGCTCTGAACGCAGTTAAGGCTGCGCACATGTGGAAGTGCCGAGAACAAGCCCGTCCCAGAGCAGCGGCTGGGCCCACCTGGGCAGGAGGTCCGTCCTGCAGCAGGGCCAGGAGGTCCAGGTAGTGCTCCACCGCCTCGGCAGCCCTGCAGAGGAAGGGGCATGTCAGTGGCAGCCACGGGGCCCCCCGTGGGCCTCTCGCCCTCAGCGTGTGACCTGTGCTTTCTCCCTACCCAGCCGGACTCGTCTGTGGGCCAGAAGACAATGTCCTTCTATGGAAGGACCACCCCGAAAGTGATCTGAGACGGCTAGGAAAATCAAGGCCAACCATCCCGCGAATCCCAAGCGAGTGCCAGGAAGAGGGCGCTCACCTCCCCGCCTGGAGACACCTCTGGGCCATCGTGTACTTCACTTCCACGGGACTCTTCTGGACAAAGAAGGCAGCCAGTCTGGGGCCACAGATGAGCAGTTCTGTTGGGCTTGGGAAACCCGGGTGGGCAGCGTCTACCGTCGCCTGGTGAGGAGACGTGGGGAGGCAGAAACGTGGCACCATCAGTCCCTGCTCCGGATCGGGGTGAGGGGCAGAATGCTGCCAGAGGAGGTGGGGCGGGAGGGAGCCTGGGCCCCTGACGGAAAGGGGGAAATCAGGGACGGCCACTGCCCCATGCAGCCCACCAGAGGCAGGCCCCGGAGTCAGCTGCGTCGGCCGGCAAGGAAAGTGGACCAGCCACTGAGGGGAAGGAGGTTGGCCAGCGCTCCCTCCGCCTGCAGGCAGAGACGCCGGGCCGCCCGGAGCCTTCCGGCCCCTCCCACGGCAGCCAGGCGGCTCCACAGACCTGGTGAAGCAGCGCCAGGGCCTCCAGTTCCGCGTCCACAAGCCCCAGCTGGCGGTACAGCGCGGCGGCCTGGTGCAAGGCCGGGAGGAACGCGAAATCCACCTGGAGGGCCCGTCGCAGGTGCTGGAGGGCCATCTGCGGCTTGCCCTGATGCGGAAAGAACCGCGTGCAGCATGAAGTGGCCAGCCGGCCGGCCTGCAGGAAAACAGCGGCCGAGACCCAGGAGGGCAGCCCGGCTGCTCAGCGATCACCCTGCCTTCCCGGCAGTGTTGTGGACGCCGGTCCCGCTGTCCGTAGCTTCTCCCCGTCAGAATGCAGCGCACCCCGAGCGCAGGTTGTGCTGCCCCACCGGTTAGGGAAAGGCTGCCGGCTGACAGCTCTGCCATGCTCAGGGCATCAGGCTGAACTTTCTGGGGCAGAACGAGGAGGGGAACAAGGACAGGCCAGTGCTGCTTCCCCCTGGCACCTGGCACCCGAGTCCCAGAGGCCGGCACGCTGCCCGCCCCGCACTGAGCGCCACCATTTCCACTCCTTCCCCTCCGACACGCACGCCCCGGAAGCTGCGCGTGGCCCCGAGCGCACCCACCGCCTCTGTGCCCGTACCGCCTTCCAGCTGCAGCATCCCATCAAGGCGAAGATCCGGGCAAGGGCCTGCCTGGAGCACAGCCCGGTGGCTGCCACCTGGAGGTGGGCGAGGGCGGCCGCAGGACGGCCGGCGTCCAGTTCGTCGACACCTGGCGCGGACACGGACGCTCAGACGCGCGCCCCCTTCGCACCCAGCAGAGCGAGCGGGGCAGAGGGGGCTGCTGCCCGGGACCGGCCCTTCCCTGCCCTACCGCCAGGACGCCCTCCAAGCACTGGCCGGCCGGCTCCTGAATGTGTTGCTAGAACGTTAGGGGAAATGCCCGAAGGGGAAGGGCACTCGGATGGGGGGGGGAGGGGGGTGGGCTCTGCCTCCCTTCCCCCACTGAGCCAGGGAGGGCGCGTCCTACAAATTGCAATTCCCAGGTGAGCTCACAGGCCCAGGTGGAACGCAACTTTGAAGAGCATATCCGATTTCCAGGCCACCAGACCCCTCCGGCTTTGTCACAACCCGAGACCGTCCTGCCCGCAGACCGAACTATTTGCCTGCAAAATCTGTGCAGGCCCCCGGCAGAAGCAGCTGCGGCAGCCGGGCAGAGCTGCTTGGGCTGCAAGGAGGGGCGGATGAGCCGCACCTTGCAGGAGGGCGGCGGACACCCGGAGAGCGCCTCCCAGGTGCTGGCCATTTTCCACAAGGAGGGGATCCGATGCCTCCACGTCCGGCGGACACCACGCCTGCAGCAGTGAGGTGAGCTCAGCTTCACGGCCGTGGCGAGGAGAAGGTCCCTGGCTCTGAGGAAGACACGACCCACGACTCCAGGCCAGACTGGCCCATTCCTTGTGCCACCCCAGATCCCGCCCGGGTGCTGAGGCGGACCGCGGGCACCAGCCAGAAGAGAGGCTCAAGGAGAAGCAATGCCCACTTCAAGGCACAACTAGCAACCAGGCCTCTCTCCCACCCCGTGGCTCTCGGGCTGCCTCCTGGGATGGGAGGCGAACAGGCCGAAGCACGGCTGACGCAGATCGGGGCCACTTTCCCGGAAAACGCTGGTGGAGAGGCTTCCCCAGGCAAATCTTCCTGGAGGGCGACCTGTGACCGAGGGGAGCGCCACCACACCCCGCCCGTCAGCCACCGGGAACGCAGCGCCTCCCGCCTGGGAAGAAGGGGTGCCCGGCTGCCACCCTACCTTGGCGCCGCTCAGGAGCTGGAAGAGGCCTGCCGCAGATCCCCGGCGGCCCGTGGCCAGCCAGAGCGCCCCCTGCAGGGCCGCCAGCTGATGCAGGGGGGCCTGGAGCTCTTCGGGGAGCCCCTGCCGGAGCAGCTTCCGCCAGAGGTCCTCTGGGCCGCATCCCTGGGCAGGCACGGCACACGCCTCCAGGACTAGTGGGGACAGAGAACGCCTGGCTGGGCCTGGCCTCCTCCCGAGCAGGGCGGGGAGGGGCCGCCACCGCTGGCACCACGCCGTGTGGCTCGCACAGGCACAGGGAGCCAGGCCCCGGCACCCCTTGAGGCAGGGCTGGCTGGCGCACAGGCGGAGATCACCCTCGCCAGCCTCTGACCGCCATGGAGCCCCCGGGCTCTTGCCGCTTCTCCCTTGGGCCGCTGAAGCCTGCTTGCTTACCCCTGCTGAGCCCGTGGTCTATTTTCGGCAGCAGCTCCTCGGCAGAGTGGCTGGAGAGATGAAGATCCAGCAAGAGGGAATTGCAGAGGGCGGCCAGCTCCACTGGCAGAGCTGGGAATGTGGCCGGAAGCCCTGCGAGGACAGAGGCGAGAGCCAAGGGGGAGGACAGGTCACGCCTCGGAGCAGTATCCAAGAGCAGCCCCTCCAGCCACACAGATTCTCTGCGCGTGAGGGGGGGGGGGCGGGGGGGGGGCGGGACGCAAGCCATGGCGCCCAAGCATCTGCCTGGCTCATCACGGCTTCTCGGCGCTTCCGTCAGCCTCTGTGACGGCATCCTGGGATGGGTTGATTTGATGTGTGAACCTGCGCAGAGTCCAACTTTCAGGTACAAGGGCAACCATGAGCATGGGGGGGGGGCGTGGGGGGGAAGATGTACACAAAAACAACAAAAGAGGAGGACCGTCTTCTGCCCCGGAAAGCCCACGTCCCACGTTGCTGGCCCAAGGATGAGCGTCTGGACAGCCTGGCCTGGGGGAACAGAGCAGCCGGGCCCTCGTTAACCTTCCCCTCCCAGGGCAAGCAGCCAGCAAGAACCATGGCAGGGAGCGGCCAAACCAGCGAGAAGGCGGCACTTCACCGCCAAGGCAGGTGCGTGCATTGCCTGAAGCAGAGGGAAGTCGGCCAGACGGAAGGCCTACTCCAGCCTGCAGGATTCCTTGGATCTGGCACCCTTCTGGGGACAGGACGTGGAGTTCAAAGCCCAGGGTTCAGTCAGGCTAAGAGAGTCAGTCTCTCTTCTGCTAGAAAAGGAGAGCCAGTGTAGGGGTTCAAAAGGTGGAGCAGGGATCCAGGTGGTCTGGGTTCTAGTCCCTGCTCAGACATGGAACCAGCTTGGAGACTGGGCCAGTCAGACTCTCAGCCCAGCCTACCTCACAGGAGTGTTGTTGTGGAGATATGACTGAGAGGAGGAGGAGGAGGAGGAGGAGGAGGAGGAGGAGGAGGATGGAAGCCACTCTGAGTTCATAAGAAAAAAGTGGGATGCAACGCTGATAGATAAATAAATAAACAAACAGTCCTCTCCGGGTGGCAGGAGACACGAGGAATTCCACGTCTCTCTCACCAAGTCCCACAGTCCGGCACGCAAGGGAGAGCTGCCCCCTTTTGTGCCAGAGGCGGCATGCGGTGACCAGTTCTGCCCCTGCCAAGCAAGGCCTCCGGGAGCTACCTTGGATGTGCTGGAGCAGCGTGGCAAAGTCGAGCCGCAACTGCTGTGCTGCTTGTGTCGCCGAACAGCCCGGGCCTGGAGACCGCGTCACCTGCCAAGGACGGCACGAGAGGGCGCCTGAAGTTCCCCGCGTGGCATCGGCGCAACCGCCACGCGCAGGGAAGTGCAGCACATGCAGAGCAAGCCCCTTTTCTGGGCGGCAGCTGACAGAAGCCTGCAGGGCGAGGGCGGACAACTCGCAGCTCTCCAGATGCTCTGGCCTGTCAGTCTCACCAGCGCTGGCCCACACAGCCCCTGGTGAGGGACAACGAGCGAGCGCGGCAAGTCAGAACTCTGGAGAGCAACACGTTCCCCACCCTTTTGGACAGGGTAACACCTGGCCCGTGGCATGCCTTGCAAAGCAAGCTGTCTTTCTTGCGAGGAGACATATGCCTTGATGTCGACAAGTGAGAAAGACAGAAAACACAGTCTCTGATACAGCAGCTCAGACAAGGGACCAGCCAGTACAGAGACCCCCTAAATCCAGGTGCCCTTCAAAGACCGTGCATATTTCTGGGAGCATGCTGATCCCCTCAGTGCAAGAGAAAGCTGGCTTGGGAAGTTTTTGACCCAGGGCAGAGCCCCATGTTGAGCTGGCGAGAGGGAGAAGGAACACAGCCAGCAAGAAAAACTGGGGGGAGTCAGTGGATCACCCCTGTGGCAGAGCTTTTCTCAGTGCCACACCTTTGACCGGCCTTCATATTTGCACCACAGGATTTGTTAGCCAGTTCTTACTTCTTGTAGGGGGTGCTGGGTCGCTGTCTGCCTTCTCTTTAAAAGAAGATGGGATGTCTTACTTTGCCCACGTACTTCCTCCGGTTTTAGAGGCGGTTCCTTCCCTGAGCCAGCTGCTTGGGGTACATGCTTAGCGTACAAATAACCATGACTGGATTTTGCTTTTGCAAAACAATATTGTCTCATTTTTTATTGTTTCGCTGTAGGGTTTACAAAATAGAGTAGGAACTCTGAAAGACCAACAAGGGAGCGTACTATTTGACCGATAAAATGAAGCAAAGTGGAAAGAATTTATGGAAGAACCATACAGAAGAGATCAAAGGGGGACAGATTTGTTGAAGAGGAATCCTATGAGGAAGAACCTGCAAAGCAAAAGCACTTGCAAAGAAAAAACCACCTTGAGCAGCTAGGGAACTGTCAGAGGTTCAACTGGAGAGGCTGAATCGGTGCATATCCTAGCAAGAATATGCAGACACACATGGAAACAAAACAATGGCGCAAAGACCAGGAACGTCCCACGCACATCCCAATCTCCAGCAAGGGAGATGCAAAAGGGTTCAGCAACTACAGGACCATTGAACGAATCCGCCAAAGTGCTGCTCAAGGTCTTGCAACAAAGAATTTTTCACCATATGGGCTGGCCTGATGTTGAAGATGGATTCTCGAAAGAAAAAGGCACTCAAGATCATATCAATGAATATACGTTGGCTGCTGGAGCATACCAAGAATTTCAGGAGACCAGTCTGCATTTTTTAGACTACGATGGCGTGAATTGTGAGAAGCTACGAATGGTTCTGAGGGAACTGCGTGGGCCTCAGCATCCGATTGTTCTGATGCCTAACCTGTACTGCAGACAAGAAGCTGCTGTTGGGGCATAAACGGTTTCCTACAGGCGAAGGGATCAGACAAGAGTGTATTTGATCTCCTATTTGTTCAGTTTGTAGATGCAACATATCAAAAGGAAAGCTGGATTAGAATCAGAGAAGGAGGAGTGAAAATTGGTGGAAGATAACACCAGTAATTTAACATATGCAGAGCATACCATATTTCTGGCAGAAAACAGCAATGAACTGATAAAAATGAAAGAAGACAGTCCAAAAGCAGCATGGCAGCGGAATGTTAAAAAATCATAACCACAAAAGACTTATACTACTTTAATGTCAACAGTTAAGAATTAGGAATTATGAATGATCTTGCATTCTTCTGCAAAAGACTCAGAAGGACAGCAGTGAAAGAACTAAACAAGATCATCAAGTCTATGAACATTTCAGTGGAGATCAAGGCCAAGATCATCCGCGCTATTAAATTCCCAGCCACTACGCAGGGCCGTGAAAGCTGGGCACCAAGGAAAGCGGACAGGCAGAAAACGGAAGGGTCAAGAGGAGAGCCCCGCAAACGCCCTGGACCAACAGAAAGACAGGCGAGTCCTGGTTCAAAGCAAGGAGGAGCTCGCTCCGGACGCAACAGAGATGAACCTGCAGCCGCCGCACTCGAGCGCAGCACGAGCGAACGAGGCTCCCGGAGGGCCGCACCCGCGTGGGAAGCGCAAAGGCAGGCGGAGGGGAGGCCCGAGGCCGGGCGATCCCGGGGAAGCCACGGCCCCGAGTCGGAAGAGCGGCTGCCCGGGCAGGGCATCTCGGGCAGCGCCGCCCCAGTCGGACGCTGCAGCAACGCGGCTGGCTCGCTCCGCGTCCGTTTGTTCTCGTGAGGCTCAGACTCGCCTCTGCACCCATAAATCGGCTTTCCAAAATGACTGCGCGGAGCAAGCGCCCTTGACTCGCGGCCCATCCGAGCTCGCCTGCAGTTGCCTCCGAGGCAGAGAAAGCCGTCGCGCTGCTCGGCTTGTTCGCGGACGCGGGGATGGCGAGGACGGCACGGCCGGGAGGAACGCGGGCCGCGGGGGCCACTTCGCGACGAGCAGCAGGAAGGCCGAGGGCCAGCTCGGCTGCCCCGAGGGCGTAGCGCTGACGGGCGCCTTTGCCGAACGTGCAACACGCGAGCAAGCCGCCCGCACGTGCGAACCGCTCCGACTGCCCCACGCGCGCACAGCAGGCGACTCCCGGCGCCCCTCCCGCCCGCCCGCCCGCCCCCCGGAGGGCTCGAGTGCCGCTCCGTCGTCCCCAGCCGGTCTGCCGGGCAGATGCGGCCGGCCCCGCGGCGAGCCCAGCGACGGCCGGGGCGGAGGAGCCGCGCCGCCCCCCCCCCCCGACGCAGCCCCGGCAGGGCCAGCGCACGGGCACGCGCGCGGCGGCGGGACAGCTACCCTGCGCCAGCGCCGCGCCAGCCGGTCGTTCTCCTCGCGCCAGGCGCGCGCGCTGCTCTCCTCGCCGGCCATGGCGCTCCTTCCGGAAAGAAGGCCGCGCCGCCCGATTGGCCGCGCCCCGGCGGCCCCCATTGGGCCACTGGGCCGCTGCCATGACGACCGCGGCGGGCGGCCGCGCGAAAGGCTCAATCCGAGGCGCCGCGCTGGAGCACGTGGGCACTCGGGGGGCGGGAGCTGCCGCCGCCTCCCCGCCAGCGGGAACGGGCGCCGCGGCCACGGAGGCCGCCGCAAAGCCCGGCGAGGCGAGCTGGAGCCGCCGCCCCGGGGACGGTCGTGGCGAGGGGCCCGCTGCCCCGGCCCAGCCGGCGTCCCGCGCGGCACGGGCCCGGACCCGGCGGCCCTCCCTCCCGCGGGGCTCCCGCGCCCGCTGCTCTCCGGGGGGCCTACCGCGCGCCCGCCCCCCCCCCCCCAGCACGCGCGCACACGCGGCAGCTTTCCGCTCCGAATCAGGGTTTTATTTGCAACGCTTGAGTTCCAGATCCAGCTCGGCCCGCTTCGCCGCCTCCACCGAGGAAGCCTCTCCCTTCCCTGCAGGCGGTCAACCGTTGGCTGGCAGGGCAGCAGCCGCGGGCCCCCCGGGCCAGCGCTCTTGCACGCGGCTCTGGGCAAGCGGCACCGAGCCACGCAGCTCTTCCGGGGAAGCCGTGTCTGCCTCGCCCACGCGCTCCTCCAGGCCCCTCCTGCACCACCACCATGGCGAGGCGACCGGGCACGGCTGGCCGAGAAACTTGTCCGAGCGAGCACAGTTCCTGTGCGGAGCCCACCGGGGTCGCGGCTGACGCACCGGAGCTCCTTGCTCCTCTCAAAGGCACTGACGGCTTTGCAAGAGCTCTTGGCCGCCACCCCCTTCCATGCAAGTGTGGGGACTCCGCTTTGGACCACCTGCTACGAATCAATGGCCAAGTGACAATATGCAGGGTGGGCCCTACAATAGGCCCCTCCCCATATAAAGCTGGTAGTGATCCTATCTGGACCCGCAGCGGCCCGTGCCAGTTGCCTCACTGGGTCCCACTAGAAACATCCATAGTGCTAAATTCTCCCAGTGCTAAATTCTTAGGAGGGAGGGAGGGCAGGGCTAGACTGAGCAAATGGGCTGGAGCATAGAGCAGTCCCAGGGCCTTCATGACAGCTGTAGGATGAACTCTACCATCAGAGAATCATAGAGCTGAAAGTGCTTCCTTGCTTTTATAATGCAAGAATCGCTTCCTGTTGTGTCCCTGTTATTTTTGCAAGACATTGCTGCATGTTCCCTCATGAGAAATGCTTAAAAGCACTTCTGATTTTGCACCGAGTTTCCCAGCATATACTTCACTGCATGAGCAACAACTCCATGCAAGACTGAGCATCGATATCCATTCACTGGATTCTCCAGCTTGCCGGCTGTGGTGCCCTGACCACAGATGAAGCGGGCCATCGCCTACAGAAGCTCTAGCTCGTTAAGCAGAAGCATTTCAGCATTCTTTAAAAGATGCACATTCTGCTTCTTTTACAAACTCAATCACGTGTGTGCAATTCTAATTTGGGATCATTCACCAGCCCCCCCCCCCCGAACAAGGGGACCGGAGCAGCAGGCTCAGTAGGACATTGCGTTGCACGAGGTGCAGGACTGCCCCACATGATCAAGCAGCCTGGGGTTCCAAACGTTTAGGGAAATGCCCCAGGTCTGGCGGGCAGGTTCCAGGCTATTCAGGGAAGCTGTAAGAGTGCAGCTGGCTTGGAAAGACTCGCTTAGCTTTGGACCCAGCGAGGCCAAGACCCAGCATTCAGTGGCACGAATGCTTGGCTGGGCCCACTGCCCCTGTTCAGTAGCCAGTCATGCGTCCCCTCCCTCTTCCGTCGAGCATCCCAAGGAACAGGCCAAGATCTCTGCTTAAGCTCCTTCCCGCTGAATGCAAAGCCGGCCAGCGAAAGCAGCCCCCGCCCCGGCAAAAGCCCAGTTTGTCCCAAGCCACGCGGTGGGGAGACGGTGGCTACACAGGGGTCTCAACAGAGGCTGCCAGCCCAGTCCAACCTATCAGAGAGCAAAAACGAGAGGCAAAGGGGGAGGCGACGCACGCGAAGTCAGAGCTGGCAAGGAGCGCCTTCATTCCACGACGCGTTGTCAGCAGCCTGAACACAGGAGAGCTGCAGCCAGCAAGGAGCAGGGCCTTCAAGTACTCCATCCATGCTGCAGAGGAAGGCGAATCGTGGCAAGAGCCATTTCCCCGGCGCATTCAGAACGGACGGGGCGGGGGCCCTTTGCTCTGCCGCTGCTGCCTGATCCCCGGGAGTTTCAGAACAAGGATGCTGTCGGGGGGGGGGGGGGCTCAGACTCCTTGCAGAGGCGCTGCTTGTGCAGAAGCCGAGCATCATGGCCGGTGGGGGGGGGGGCACTGTGGTCCGGTGCTGAAGCACAGGCTTGGCTCGCGGAAGGCACGGCATCTCCGGCTGGAAGACGCAGGTAGCGGCACTGGAGCCTGGAAGAGCTGCTGCCAGGCAGAGCAAGCAGCACAGGGCTGGGCAGGCAGACACCCTGCCAGGCAGCTTCCTCCGCAGAATGGGAGGCCGGCCCCGAGGACGGGAGCAGGTCCCCAGCAGGCCCAGGGCGCTAGGAGTTCCGGCCGCGTCCTGCTCCCGCTTTCCCAGCCAGCAGAGCGGGAGCAGCATATTCAAGCTGCGGCGCCAGATTACAGTGGGTGGACCTCTGATGTCCCACATTTTCATGTTGGCAAACCACATCTAGAAATCCAGAACCCAGTTCAAAGTGTTCAAGCACGCAGAAGTTCCGACTGAGGGCTGGACCCGATGGGCTTCTGGCCCCTTCCAACTGCAGCATTCCTCGACTCTGTGGAACCGGAACTGAGCCGCTTATGCCCAGGTGCGCCAACGAAGCCCCTGGCTGGTGGGCAGGCGAAGCAGCCCGGCTCCCAGTCCCACGGAGCAGCACGTCCCGCTGCCGCCTCGGTTCCAACACTGTTCACGCCATCGCAGCGGTGGGTGAGCGCCACGGGTCTGCCAGGTGCGTCCAGAGAGGCCTTCCGTTGCAGGTGGTGGCAGCGCATAGTCCCCGAACAGCAGAGCAAGCGAGGCCTTTCTCCGGTGGCCCCAGAAGTCCTCAAGGCCCCAGCTCAACGGCGGCTTCACGGGCCGGGGTCTGGCCTGGCCCCGCCACAAACCCAGCTCTGGGCAAGCTCTCCCCTTCCACCCACGAACGCACCACCAGCTCCCTCGACGGCAGCTGCTCAGACCTCCAGCTCGCAAAGGGGGAGGAGGGATGGCAGCCCGGCCACCCCGAGGTGCAGCTGCCTTCCAGAGCACCGGCTCCCAGTGCCGCAGCACACCACGCCTCCCATGGTTCTCACGGAGAAAAGCACTCCTTCCTTGCCCTGGCACAGGGGTTCACGGGCTGCTCACACGCTAGACGTGGCAAGCGAGGCTGCAGCATTTCTCTGGAGGGCGCTGCGCTCATCCCTTCCTGCCCTCCCATGTCCCCTTCACTGACCACAGGAGCCCCACACCCAGCACGGAGCCCCGACGGAGAGGGCCGCCTGGCCCAGCTGGCACGTGCCCACTGCTGGCGCCTCTGCGATCCTGGAAGCCCCCGGCGGTGCTCCTGGCCGGACTCCAGCCGGCGCTCGTGCTACCTGGACTGGGCAAGGATGACCCGCTTGAACCAGGCGCTGACGGCACAGTCCACACGCATCACCAGGCCCAGGCCCAGCAGCAGGAAGACGCTGCTCGCCACGAAGCCCAGCGCCTCGAAGAGGAACCTGGAAGCGAGCAGAAGCCGCGGGGCAGCTCGCGCTCTGCGCCCCGGAAGCTCCAGGACATGGCCAGCCGGGGGATCGGGGCGCACTGGGGCCGGGGGACGTGGGTCTGGCCTACACGCCCCATGCCGCCTGCCCTGAAAGCCGCATGTGCTCCGTGGACGTGGCTTCATGACACCCAGGCGAAGCCCACAACGGGTGGCGGCAGCCAGCTCGGCGAGGGCTCCTCCGCCCACGGGGCCCTACTCTGGCTTCAGCCCACCCCCTTCCCTACCCCTGGACTGAGGGGATGGAGTTCCCAGGGGCGGGGTGGTGCCTTAACTTACTTGGGAGCAAACACCTTCCAAACCATCAGATGCCTTCTGAGAATAAAGGCAGCCAAGACACAAGCTAGAAGCTGTGGGAAAAGAGGGGAAGGGAGGGGAGGGGGGGAGGCAGTGTCAGCCAAGCGCTACCGGGCAGGTCCAGCAAAGGGGATGCCAGGGGAGACTTTACGGCACCGAGTCTTCACGCCCCCTTTCCCAGAACCCTAGCTCCGTAATATACTTTTCTTTTGGACAGACCACCTGGCTCGCTTGGCCCATAAAAGCACCGCAAAGGTGGTGTCCCAGAGCGCATTCCACAAACAGAGGCAGCGCCCTCTGTGGAGCCCAGAGGTAGGCAGGTGGGCTGCGCAGGAAGGCCCCCCTCTCCCCCGCGGCAGCGGAGCCACGATGCCTAAGGTATGCCCGGTGCCGCATGCCCCAGAGGCAGAACTGCCGGGGCCTCGGGCTGCCTGGTTCTCCCGCCTCCGTGGCACGCCCGGGGCTCGCTCAGCAAGGGATTCTGCTTCCGCGTACACACCTGAACCCCCAGAACACACAGGTACTTGAGTCCCAGCTGGAGCAGGGCTGCCACGAACCGCGCGGGGTCCTCCCGGAGCCTCATTTCCATCATCTGCTCCCCCGGCTGGGGAAGCTCTGCCCGGGGCCGCCTGCCCCTGGAGGTGAGCGCTTCGCACACGAACGGCCACAGGAGCAGCAGCGGGCAGCCGGCTGCTCGAGAGGGAGGGAGGGGGGGGGAGGGGAGGGGGGCCGGCGAGGGCACCGGCGACGTTCCATTAAAACAGTGAGACAAGCACCGTTGCATACAGGGCGCCCATGGAACACCCGCGCGCAGAAGACCCCAACCAGCTCCCGGCCCAGCCCCCTCCCAGCACTCCGAGGCCTAGCCACAACCTGGCCCCAGGGCCCAACAGAGAGACGATGCCCCACCCCGACCCCCACGCAATCCAAAGCCAGCCCTCGCTCAGCCCCAGCCCGAGAAAAAGGCCTTCAAACGAGTCGGCCTCAACACAGCCCCCGAGGGCGTCAGTCAAGCAAAGCTGAGCGTGGCCCCTGCGGGCGCCCGGTGGCTCCGTCCACGCAGGCCGGGCACTGTGGGGGCACGGCAACGCTGCCCATGCGCCAAGCACGCCGCCCCCACAGGGCCTTCCCGAGCGAGCGGCCGACTCACCGGCGAAGAGGACGTGTGAGGCGAAGGTGTTGGCCCCGACCAAGAGCGCGGGCACCAGGACGCCTGCGTGTCCCTGCTGGAACCCCACGAAGGCGGCGTTCCAGTGGATGGCCGGGAAGACCGGCTGGTGGCCGGTGGCGTAGAAGAACTGCGTGGCGGCGAGTGCCCAGAGGACAAGGGCAGACCAGGCCACCTCGAAGGGCTCTGCGCAGGAGGAGAAGCGGCACAGAAGAGGCTTCACGGGGAGCACGGGGAGCGTTGTGCGCGCGCCCTCCCTCCTGGGCCATTCGGAAGGACACCTGGATGCCATCCTGGATCCGACCCAGGGTCCATCCTCCCCAGCACTCCACACACACAGTGGCAACCCGGCTGCCCACGGGATCCCTCCAGCAGGAGGGGTGCGAGCGCGACGGGTGTGTGCAGGCAGGCCACCTCTGGTGAGGGGGCAGCACACGCCCCCCCCAGCTGCTGCCACGGGGAGCCCCCCCGTGACCCTGCCCAGTCCCCTTGCAGCGCCACCAGACTGGTGGCCAGCGCCACTTCCCGCGGCACCAGGCCCCGCAGCTGAATTGCGCATGGCATGCGGAGGTGCTCCTTTTGGTCTGCGCCGGATCCCCCACCCCGCCGCTTCCCCGGATGACCCCTTTGGGCATGCGGGAGAAAAATGCCCCCCTCTCCGCTTTTCCCCCAACGTGCATTATCTGAAGCCCCTGCATCCTGTCTCCCGTGAATCGCCTTTCCGAAGCTGAACAGTCCCAGCTGCTCCACACGGGGAGCCGCTCCAGCCCCCGGTCACTTTCGCTGCCCTTCTCTGCGCTTTTCCGACTGAATTGTGTCCTCTCTCAAGGCCGCCAGCTCCGAACGCAGCATTCCAGCGCACCGGCACCCAAGAGCCGCACAAGGGGAGCGCCCCCTATTCTGCCCCCCCCTTTCTATGCCACTTCTCGTTATGCCCAGCATGGAGTTCGCCCTCCTCACGGCAGCTGCGCACGGCCGGCCTCTGCCTCATCTCTCCGCCAAGATGCCTCTCTTGCTCGGGCACCGCTGGCTCACATCCCCATCAGCCTGTGCTTGAAGCCCAACAGGCACCGCTCAGCACTGGCTTCCACTGAACTGCACGGGCCACGCTGACGCCCCTTCCCCCAGCCTGGAGAGCCCTTTGGCCTTGACCACCCTGAACAGTTTGGTGTCATCAGCAAACTTGGCCTGTTCATTCCGTACTCCTAATTCCAGATCGTTTAAGAACTGGTTGAAAAGCGCTGGCCCGATCCCAGCGCAGAGCCCTGTGGGTCTCCACTGGGGATGTTGGAAGAGGTTGCCCCTTATTCCCACCTGCTGTCTCCTGTTGTTTAACCTGTTAGTGCTCCGTAAGAAGACCCCCTCCTTTTATTCCATGGCTGCTTAGTTTGCTTAGGAGGCTTTGGAGAGGGACTTTGTCACAGGCCTTTTAGCAGCCCGAGGCAACACCGTCTACTGAATCGCCTCACCCACGTGCTCATGGACGCCCTCCAAGAAGCCCTATAGCTCCGTGAGAGGAGACGTCCCCGTACAGAAGCCGTGCCAGTTTCCTTCCAGCAGGGCTTGTCCATCCACGTGCCCCGGGGACTGAGGACACCCCTTTGCCTTCGGTGCTGAACCGTTCGCTCCGAGGGGCCCACCCCCTTCCCGAGACTGAGAGACAGAGACTTCCCAGGGCACAGGGCAGAAAGCGAAGCTGCTTCCTGGGCAGGCAGCCCCTACTCACCGGGGGCCCGTGAAGAGGCCGAGAAGGAGAGTGCCGTGGCCCAGGCGTGCATCCAGAGTAGGGCGAAGGCCTCCAGGAAGAGCAGCAGGAAGGCCAGGCTGAGCCGCTCGCTGTGCAGGGCCATCAGGAGGAAGCCAAGCAGGGCCAGGCCAACCAGCAGCGCCGCCGAGTAGACGCTGCCCAGCCCGTAAGCGGCCACGGTGGCCCCGCCACCGGCCTGCGCCTCGGCCAGCCGGCTCCTCAGCGACTCCTGCATCCGGCGGTAGAGCTGCGGGATGACCTGCCGGAGCTCCGCCTCGGAGCTGGGGTACGCGACGGGGACGCCCGCCCCTGGGGGCTCCCGGCCGTCCTGCACGAAGACGGTCACAGGGCTCCAGAGGAGCAGCAGCAGCCCCAGGGCCACGAGGCCGAAGATCCCGCGGGGGAGGGCCGCCAGGGCCAGCTGCACCCACGCGTGCAGCCGGGCCAGCTCCTCCTCGGCCCCGGAGGTGACGGCCCAGTAGCCGCCCAGGCCGAGCGCCAGCAGTGGGAGCCCCCAGCGGGCGACGAGTGCCGGGGCGCTGGGGCTGTTCAGGTTGCCGTGGTGCTGCAGCCAGCGGCGGACCCCCCACGCCTGGCCCGCCAGGCCGGCCAGGCAGAGCACGTAGCAGAGGTTCTTGGCCCGGGGGCTCTGCAGGCTGGAGAGGGGGGCCAGGAGCGGGGAGGAGCGGCAGTGGGGCGTCTCCTCGCGGCACTGCCAGAACAGGCCCGAGAGCCGCGCGCAGAGCAGGACGGCGCCCAGGCAGCCCAGCAGCTGCGGGGGCCCCCGGGAGCCCGCCAGCCGGCCCCGCCAGTGCAGCCGCAGCACCAGCGCCAGCGCCAGGGAGCCGAGCAGGAAGGGCGCCACCCGGGCCTCCGCCACCACGAAGCTGTCCGAGAGCGAGGCGCCGCAGCGGGCCAGCAGGATGCCCACGGGGAGGGCCTGGCCCGGGCCGGCCTGCAGCCTCTGCCGCAGGCCCGTGCCCCCGGGCAGGGCGTGGGGCCTGGTTGGACAGGGCCTTCCGCTCCAGCAGTGCCAGAAGAAGCCCAGCTGGGATGCTGCTGCCCCCCAGGAGGAGAGCAGGAGGGGGTCCACCCCGGCCCACCCGCCGAGGTGCGCGAGGCCCAGAAGGGCGGCCCCCGCCAGCCCCCAGAGCACCGGGTAGAGGAGGAGGCGGCGGTAGGAGAAGGCCCGGTCCAAGGCCACGCGGGAGGCCACGTAGCACAGCACGCAGGACGATGCCAGCAGGGCGCAGCCGGCCAACATGCGGGCCAGGTGGAAGCGGGCCCAGGTCTCCTCGCAGGCCGCCCGGGCCTCCCGCAGGTAGCGGCGGAAGAGGCCCTGGAGGTGCTCCAGCTGCGGCAGCAGAGCTGAGCCCGGCTGGGCCAGGAGCTGCTCGTGCGCCTCTGCCGTGGAGGAGAAGAGGTCCCGGAGGCGCTGCAGCTTCTCCGCGGGGATGTCCTGAGCAGCCAGCGAGTAGGAGTGCAGGAAGCGGTGCACCTGCGGAGCCGGGGCCCGAGTCACTGCACGCCCTGCGGCACCAGAGCCTCCTTCCTGCCGCCGACCCCCAGGGCAGGACAGCACGCAGGCCGGCCTTTGAGGAAGAGGCGGCCAGCGGCAGGCAGGAGAGCAGCCCTGCTTGGAAAAGCGTCCCTCAGCTGAGCACGTTCCACGGCCACCGGGCCGGGAGGGTGGCAGGCAGTCCCTCCGAGGAGAGCCCACCAGGACGCCTGCTCCCGAAACCCTCAGCCCGGGAGAGGCAGCTGCCCTCACCTGCCCGGCGTTGATGCTGTACGCGGCCAGCTGGGCGAGGGCCGAGGCGGCCGCATCACCCTCCACCGCGAAGAGGTCAGCCATCACTTCCCCGATGTTGCTGTAAGGCACTGGGACGCCCAGCAGGAGCGCCAGCGTGGGGACCAGGTTCACCTGTGGGACCGTCTCCGGCTCCTACGGGTGCAGGAGAGTGCGGTAGCAGGGCCGGCAAGGCAGCCCTTTGGGTCCAGGTGGCGGGGAGGACACGGCCCTGCGGGGTCCCCGAGTCCTACCTGGGGCAGGGACTGCACGCTACGCTCAGCCAGCACCTTCGCCCCCCACGCCCCTTGCTTCCCGCCCAAATGCAAGCCGCTGTGCTTCCCACAGCTACTGCCAGGGGCACCGGGGCACGGGGAGAAGGGGGCCCGCCTGCCACCAGCCTCCGTGCCCAGAACGACTGACGAAAGGCCGAGGGGCGCCTGCTGCAGCTGCTGGAGCAAGGGACTCGTGTCACTTCCTAGAGCACCGCAGGCCCAGAGGGAGCAAGACGCCCTTGCGCAAAGCAGCCCCCCACGCCCCCCGTGCCTCCCTCCAGCTTACCTTTGGCGGCTCGTTCTGGAACAGCGGGGCTTTACTATACACAAAGAGCGCCGCATCCACCTCTTCCTCGCTGTCCCCCCCGTGATCCCCAGTCCCCGTCATGCCATGGTCGCCTGCCACCAGAAGCACTGTGTCATTTGCCAGGTGGTCGACCAGCGCCCTGTCCATCAACAACACAGGACGTCAGCTTCCTTCTCCCGGCGACCGCAAGGCGGGGAGGGCCAGCCCTGCACAGCCCTGCAGGGAGCGCGGCCTGGGAGCTCCCTCTTGCGGCGCCGACACCAGCAGGCTTCTTTGCTTAGCGCATTCCCAGAGCCCCTCCGCCCCTGCATGGAAGGCTGCTGCGGCGAGAGGGGCGGCAGGCCGGCAAGAGGAAGAGCAGCTGTCCAACCGGCTCTGCAGGCCAGGGCCGCCCCCCCTCCCCATCTCCCCCGGGGCAGAACAAGAGTGCCTCATGCTCCCGGCCCGGGGGCACAGCTGGGATCTGAAGAATATGCCCTGGGTACCCCCAGAAGTTGGTGGTGGGGCAGGCACAGAGATGCGGGATGCATCCCCTTACCTGCTCCCGTGCACCCTGCCCCGGCAGCTTCCCCCGCCTCTGCCTCCCTCCCCCACCCCCTGCTCTACGGCTTCTTCCCTGCCTCCCCCCGGCTCGCTCTTTGCCTCCTCACGTGCCTTTCAGCAGTGCTTGAGCTCGCCTTTCCACGCAGGGCTGGGGGAGGCCAAGCGGCGAAGCGTCACTGGCGCCAAGGCAGCTGCTGACACCTTTCTGCGGCCAGCTCCCCGCAGCTCAGCGGTTGCCTGACAGGCCTCCAAATCTCTGGTCCGCTCTGGCAAGAGATGCCGGTGCCAGAGGCCGGCGGAGGCACAGACAAAGGGAGCAGAACTCTGCAGGGTGCGCTTTGCTGGGGCCGGAACGGTCCGTTTCTCGCACCGGGTGACGGGGGAGGAGAGCTCCGGTGGCGGAGTCCCTGCTCGCCACGCAGAAAGCCCCGACTTCAGTCCCCTTCGTCTGCAACCTCAACAGCCGGGGCTGGACCCGATGGCCTCCACGGCCCCTCCCGACTGTTCTATTCTATGGTTCTATGAGCTCTGGCTCAGGCAGGAAAGGCTCCCGCCAGCAGCCCTGGGCAGCCGAACCCCCCAGTTTGTGCTGACAACACTGCCCAGATGGTCAAGGAGGGGTGTCCGGGGTTGGTGGAAGCTCCCGTGTCTGCGGAGCTCCTCCCTATGTGCCACCCACCTGAGAAAAGGAGCGCAGGGTCTGCAACCCACTCCCTGGGCAGGACTCGTGAGGGGAGCAGAGAAACTCTAGGCAGCCAGCAGGGCGGGGAGAGGCCCTCGCTCCACGGTGGACACTCACCTGAGCACGCCATCCATCTGAGAAAGCTTTTTGGCCATTTCGGGGTGGTCTGGCCCATGTTTGTGGCCACAGTGATCCACACCCAAGAAGTGTGCAATCAGCAGGTCCCATTCGCCACCATCCACTGCGCCACATGAGATGAGGAAAGAGAGAGAGCGCATGAGGCTAAAGCCCGTCTCATCCCAGCAAAGGCAGCCGGCCTGTCTTCCCGCCAGAGCTGCAGCCACTGCACACTGTCCAGAGCCAAGCGGATGGGAAGCAAATGGCTCCAAGACGCAGGGAGAGGCAAGGACAGAACCGGGCCCTTCAAAAGGATGTGTGGAGAGAAGGACCAAGCACTTCTTCTTCGTGTGCACAGTTCCATGTTGAGAATTTCCCTGTGGAAACTCTGGGAAAAAATCGCATTTCCTTTGCAGAACTTTGTGTCAAAAAGCCAAATAATTTAAACAACAAATTCCCAATATGTGCTATTTTTGAAAAGCACACACATACTCCACTCACGGACATCTAGTAAACAGCACAAATAAATACTCCAGCCATCATCTTTGGGAATAACTACTTTTTATTTAAAGGTACTCCACAGATCTCTACAGCCCTACGAACTTCAATTGTTAGTTGCACAATTATTTTGCAAGCGTAACAGGAACTTAGCAAGCAAAACAAGGCGGCTTTGCCTTCAAGAACAGGCTGACCTCTATGATTTCTTCTGCCCTTGGCAGTACACCAGAGGCTAACCAGGCAGGGCTGTCCCTCAAGGGTACGCACAGGGAGCTAGGTCACCTTCTGCAGCGGGGAGCTGGAGGGCGGGTTCTTCCCCTCCTCTCCAAGCAGCAGCCCTCTGCTACCTGCTAGGCTGCGGCTGCCTGGGGTGGGGTGGGGTGGGGTGGGGATCCGACGCCCACCAGGCTGAGGAGGGCAAGAGCTCACCTGTCTGGTAGAGATGCTGCAGGATGCCCTCATCCACAGTGTGCAGGTCCTTCACGTTGAACGAAGGAAAAAAGTAGGAGCGAAAGAAGGCCTGCGGGAAGAGGCCGTCCCAGGTGTCGTCCCCCATGAAGACCACCCTTTTCCCTGCAGAGGGAAGCGGCACATTCGGGGGCTTGCAGGCCGGAGGAAAGCAGATCTCTTCCCCGGGAAGGGCAGGCGTGGGGAGGCCTCGGTCCCGCCGGGCTGAGTCCCCGTCGCTGCCCCAGCGGGGCCCCTCCGACGCCGCACCGCGCGGCCCTTCCTCCCGCCCGCAGACTAACGAGCCCGCGCCCCGCGCCCCAGGGAAGGGGGTCCCCGCCTCGGCCCGTCCCGGCGGGGGGGGCGGCTCCCGGCGCGCCCCCGCGGGGCACCCACCGTTCTGCGCCAGCTGCCGGATCAGGTTGTCCTCCTGGACGGCGTACGAGGCGAAGTTGCTGCCCGCGTCCACGAAGGTGGGCAGCGAGCCGGTGGTGAGGCCCTTGATGCGCTGCATGGTGGTGGTGGGCGGGTCGGCGCGGAAGCGGAACAGGCGCCCGTGCCGGGGCTGCCGCCGCGCCAGCTCGTGCAGCACCGGCAGCCGGTTCTCGAAGGGCCGCGGCGCGCGCCGCGCCGGCTCGAAGCGCGCGAACTCGAAGGCCAGCGCGTCGATCAGCACCAGTACGGCGCGCGGGAAGCGCCGCGGCAGCCAGCAGCCCTCGCCGCCCGGCCCCGGCCCCGGCGGCCCCGGCCCCGGCGGCCGGGCGGCGCAGGCGCTGCGCTCGGGCAGCTCCACGCGCGTCAGCAGGAAGCCCG